TTAGGAGTTTGAAACATGTATTGGCAGATTGTCCACAAACAACAGAGGTCACCCTATGGATGAAAGGACAGACTTCAATACTGACAACAATAACAATGTTCATAAGGAACCAATTTTCCATGAATAGATAAGATAATCTCATTATCTTTTTTTTTTAAACAAGAAAATCATGTTAAAAGAAAAGAAAGGCGGTAGCTTAAGTAAACAGCAAAACTTAACTGGACCACCTGACCACAATAAAAATTATGAAACAAGAGTTGGCCTCCAAAGACAAAAAATTCATGGTCACCATATGGATGAAAGGACAGGCTTCAATACTGACAACAATTACAATGTTGGTAAGAAATTATTTTTTGCATAGATAAGGTTATCATATTATCTTATTTTCTTTTGTTTACCACAAAAACAAGGAGAAAACCATGTCAAACAAAGAGAAAGACATTAGCTTAAGTAAATAGAAAACTGAATGGGGCCACCCGACTGCAAAAACAATTATGAGACAAGATCTTGACTCCAAACAATTTTCTTAGATTAAACAGAAATTATCTCCTTCCCAAGGAAAAATAAAAACAATGTTCCTGCCATGACCCCTTCCAAAGAAAAAACTGGGAGGCGAAAAAAGCAAATACAGACAATGTATACCATACCTGTCATAGCTCCGGTCATAATCAGGGTCCTTCCGATCAATCTCACGATCCCTAAATATAGCTACCCTATTATTTGGTTTGTACCGCCCAACTGGCTCCTTCTCTGGCCTACTTCTAGCTGTTCTACTGCTACTTGTTGAGGACTCAATTAAACCCCTACCAGAATGTAAATCAGAAACACTTGACTTATCTTCCACCTTTGGCATCACCAAGGGAACGTGTTGTGGAGTATCCTGCAGTCTTGGTTCACTTTCTGATTTCCCACTTGAACTGCCACTCATATTAATACTCGAATTAAATATTCGTGCGCGAGCCCTGTTATACTCTTCTTTCCGTTCTTCAACAGTTTTGGAACTGTTTGCTTTTGCCGAATTTGAATTTGCATTGTTGGCAGTCTGTGACCGTTTCTGTGGCCTCTGTTTTATTGCAACCTTAGTAACACCACCGTCTTCTGATGGTAAACTAACAGGTATGTCTGCAAGGCGAATCTGAGGGAGTCGACACTCAGAAGTTTTACGGACAATAATTCTGGAACCAGAGCCATCAGGTAAATTATTATCTAATAAAACCATTGACTGAAGTGAATAATGCTGAGCCACACGGTGTGCAGCCAAGCGTAAATAAGAAGTGGGCAACTGCTGAAACTCTAGCTGCTGCTGAATAGGATCACGGATAAACTTCTCAACATCTTGCTCCATCCGTAAAACTGCACAAGAAGATATCTATGAAGTTCATTATTATGAAGAGATAAATCCAAACAAGACAGCACATCCTGACTGCATGAACCAAACATATCATGACAGCAACTATGATAAAATAGCAATGAATGAAGAGGATGATGAGGATGATGAG